TCTTTTCACATAATTATATATATATATATATATATATATATATATATATTACACACACACACATATGTTTTCAACTGCCACAGTAGTAAAAAAAAAGCCAGGGGTATCGTGGATTTGTAAAAGTCTCCTTAGTTCAGGTTCCAGAATACAAAAAAACTGTTGAAGCATCATTTTAGTAACATGTCATCCTGGATTAGCTGTATTATGCAGTGTTCTCTGTGTAGTACTGCACACTAGACAGGGATATAACATATGTAAGTGACAAATAATTTGTAACTCCCCATTTTAAACTCCCATGCTCCATTGATGGGACTTGGAGCAATGCCTACTGATGATACTGCAGAGAAATTAGGATCCACTGTTCCCAGGCTCACTTAACAGTTGCATGGATTTGATGAATGAATGAGCTAAATTCAGCTGAAGGTGTGGATATGGAAAGAACAGCACAAATCTGATAACAGAGACATTGGACTAACTGCAGCCTTGGTAATGTCAGCATGAAAGATAATATGCCAGTTCACAAGGCTAAATTTAATTCAAGGATGCTGATCCTATAACAAGAAACTATACCAATAATGCGGCTATCACATAGCAACATGACTTCATCTAAACCTATACCAGCTATGATCTAATATTGTATAAGTTGCAGTAACCAGTACATCTGAGCCAGGATTATGCAATGTGTACAGTCATGGCATTTAAGGTATGAACTATAAGGATACAGACCATGGATCCTATGTAGTGGACAGCTTCAGCTCCCCTGCTTCCTCCTCTCACACATCTTACACGCAGCATGGTGCCTGGGCTACCTAAGGGAAGGAATGTTCTCAATGAATGAATAAGACAGCTCAAAAGCCCTGAGCTATTCCAACTCAAGCCAAGTGGTCTGGGGCAGGGTAGGGCTGTAAAAGCTCTTTATATGAACTCCACGTCCCTCTCCATTGGCTGCTGCTGATAACAGGTGGTGATAGTGTCAAAGCTAAAGGTCACAAATTCCCAGATTAGAACGTGTCTCTTCCAAGAACCGCAGCACCTTTTTGCCTTTTTTAGCTGCAGAAAGACAGTGGGAATCAATGTGTAAAAACATAAAGCATGGGAACATCTGGAAGGCCACAGCGCTGTGCAGCTGCAGAATATGTACCCAGCAGCTGTTATTACAGAACAACAGGTGACTGTGAAAGTCATGTTTCCTTCACATGCCATCGAGTACTAAGCATGCTTCCAGATGCTGTGTTCAAATAAATTGTATCCAGGTGTAAAGCTGCTCATACGTAAGAGATGACAGTCACCGAATCAGACAATTAGCCCCCATTCACATATGGGCGTAACAGGGATGTCCATTGTGGTGATGCGCGTTCCCGGGGCTTTGTTTCCCACGTTCGATTAAAATGGGTGCCGAACGTGTGCCAAATGTGGGTAAAGTAGCACATTTTGTGACATGCGTTCCAAGTTTTTTTCTAGGAAGAAAGCGTGTTATCTCAGCTGTGTTTTGGTGCTATTACTAGTAATGGCACCACAAGCACGTTCGACATTTGGTGCGTGTTTTACGAATGTACTTTCAACCACGGGTGCTTACTGTTGGATTGGGTGATGATTTACCCCCTGTTCACACCATCACATTCTGTGAACCTGCATTGCAATGATGCACGTATGCAGGCATTTTTCCCCTCATGTGTCATGCATCCCAATTGATTTCAATGGGTGCCACTTGCGTGACAAACACAGGAAAGTAGCTTATGTAGCCAAATCTGCTACATGCGTTCCGCATTTGTTTCCTGCACGTTTGTGTACATTTCAATGTGCGTCAACAAACAGGAAACATGCGCATTTGCCCACCCGCATTTGGGTTGGCTTTAACAAGTAATGGCACTGCAAGCATCTTTTTGTGAGTGTTTGCTCCTTTTAGGACTACTAATTTGTATTGAGATTATAGTCCATCACGGGAGTGAGCTTAGAGCTGTGACTACTTTACAACACACACAGGAACCATGGGGAACAAAAGTAGTCACCCTCCAGAAGGAAGGACAGTGTCAGCACCAATTCAGAGATGATTTGAGGATCCATAGCTGAGTGATAAACAAATAGTGTACATTTTGTTGATAGTTAAGGTACTTTAATGCATTTTAAGGTTTATCTCCTGAGTTTAGCATTAATTTGCTTGTAATAACAGACACACAAACATGTATAACATTCTTTTTATTGACTACCTCCCAGCCGGCCGTTGTAAAAAAACGGCTGGCCGGGAGCTCTCTAGATCTGAGCGGGCGTCTTTAGAGGTCCGCTCAGCCACGCCCACTTGTGTGCGCTCCACGGCGCGCGAGCGGGAAATACCGACAAGTTAAAAACAGGCAGCGATGCCTGTTAACATACAAGCGATCCGCCGGCTATGGAGCCGGCAGATCGCTTGTATGAGCTGCCGGCCCGTGTTCCCCTCCTCCCTCCGCAGCACCCCCTCCCGTTGTCATGCTGGTCCCTGTCTCCGCTGTGCCCGGTGCGAGCCCGGGACCAGCATAGTGCCTCTGTCACAGGGGATCAGAGGGAGGTCGGTACACGATCTCCCTCTGGTCCCCTCTCCGCTGTCAGAATGCGGAAGTGATGTAGTTTACATCACTTCCGCATTCTTGTGTCACTCTCCAGCTTCAGACGCTGAAGAGAAGCTGATGAAGCAGATCTCGGCTTCTTCGGGGGGTCCTAGGTGGCATTAGGGGTCTTGGAGACCCCTGATGTCTCCATAAAGAGGACCTGTCACATCTTTTGCTATCACATAGGGGGGTTTCTTAGCCCCCTATGTGATAGCAATAATGTTAAGTGGAAAAAAAAAGAAACAAACATTTAATTTTCCCCAAAAACATTTTTTTAAAGTTACACATGTTTGGTGTCTATTTACCCGACGTGACTCCGTCTTTTATATTTTACCAAAAAAATTGGGTAATAATAAATGTTTCATAACATATTGTAAAAAAAACTTGAAAAATTTTTTTTTCAGTAGTTTCACCGAAATATAGTAGAAAATTAAAACCCCAGTGGTGATTAAATACCACCAAAATAAAGCTCTATCAGTCTCCAAAAAATGGTATAAAAATAATTTCAGTACAGCGTTGCATGACGGAATAAATGTCAGTCAAAGTACAGCAGCGCTGAATACTGAAAAATGGCCTGGCCAGGAAGGGGGTCTAAACACCTGGTCTTCAAGCGGTTAAGAAACCCTCTATCAGGGAACTTGCAATACAGCAAGCGGACAATATTGCAATTTAGGAGAAATTCAGTCTTGACATCCTTAGGAACCCAGTGAGCTGGTGGCACCTACAGTATATAATACCAGCAATGCTAATAGGTAGCTGCAGCATGCTGAGCTTTAGACACAAGTCTCTATAGAAGTTATGGAACAAAAGCAAAAGTTAGCACTGTATGTTTACACCAATCTCAAGTGTAAATCGCTTTCTGTTGAAAAGGTTGGAAGATGTGTTATGTAGGAAATCACTTTATAGAGGATGTTATCCTAATTTATTCCTAGACAGATCTGTGGGAACACAGGAAAGGGAGAGGGCTTGTTCTCGTAAATGCTCTCGTCCAAAATTACACTGGCAGTTGTAGTATTGTGTGTGCAGGCAGCTGTCTATGAGATGTTTCACTAATTTAGACACGTACACATGTAATATAAATCATGGAAAATAAAGACTATTTCCGCCTTAGGTGAAATGAGCACTTACCTTGTGTATTTTATAAATAAAAGGTTGTCTATTTTTATCAATATAATCCCCAAGCAGTCCTTGCCAAATGAAGTGACCATGGTCAGGGCTTTCTTTATAATGCGATAAAGATATGATCCTTTTCTATCATTAGTTACACTCGTTTTTTTTTTTAAAGTATGGTAATGCAACTTTCACAACATACTAGTAGATAGCAGCTTTAAGAGACCCTGTCACCAGACTATTCATTTCATCAAAATCTTTAGCAATGTTATATGATATATATACCGTATTTTCCGCTCCATAAGATGCAATTTTTAGCGAATTTTGAGCGAATGTGTGAGAGCTGAGGTGGGGCGGGGCTCACAGTGTACCCAGGGGTGTGGAATTCCTATTGCCCGATGCCTGGAACATGCAGTTTTGGGCGCCGGGCGCTTAGTTTTTTTGTACATTTAGCTCTGCTCCGGACAAGCAGAGCTAAATGTATAGTGTGGAGCCGCCGCTTGTTTTCATACAAGTGATCTGATTAGATCACTTGTATGAAAGGAGCAGCGGGGATCCTGTCTGCCTCCCCGCCGAGGTTTTCGGGGTGTCCCGCTCCTTTGGGGACCCATGACCACGGCATAGGAGCTCACCATAGAGCCCATAGAGCATGCTCTGTGTGATCACTGAGACCGTGGCGCTGTAATCACAGCGCCACCTGTCTCAGCTGTCAGGAACTACACAGAGCCCTACCCTCCCTAGGTGCGTCTTATGGTCAGGTGCGTGTTATGGAGTGCAAAATAAAGATATATAGGGGTGCGGAATTCCTATCGCCCAATGTGGGCTAGCAGAGCTAAATGTAGATGGGGGGCCAACGCTCATTTAATACAAGTGATTTCAGATCACTTGTATAAAATTAGCAGCCATCTTGTCTGCCCCCGCCATGGTTTTCAGGGCCCCCCGCTCTCCTGGGGGACCCGGTGTTCCATCATTCCATCAGACCCGTGACTTTATCGGACTTGTGGGGGTGTGTGCGGGGGTATGTGAGGAGCTTGGGCTGTGTGCGCAAGTGCACTGCAAGACCAGATCCATAAATCTGACGGACCGATCAGCTTATGAGCGTCTCCAAGTCCAGAACTCTTACGGACTAATTATTAAATTATAATCATAAAAGAAAATTTGATGCATTGCATGGTGGTACTGTGAGTTAATCTCACAGAACCGTGCGATTAACTCACAGCCCTGGTGAGAACAGGCCCTAACACATGCCTGTGACTGGACCCCTTATATATCATTGTATATTTACATCTACCTGACCTTTGAAAGACATGCAGGTTGGTAAGTTTAGTTCACTTTTCCGTTGATCTGTACTATGAGTTCTGCCAAATTGCCAGTTACAGCCAAGGAAATGTTGAATAATTGATTTGATAAATTAGGTGAGTTATCAGAAACGCTTAGGGATGTGTAATTGAACTCCCCACTGTTTTCTGCATTTGCAGATTATAACAAGACCTAATTTAAGAAAATCTATCCAGAGACTAAAATGTAGACTGCCATTGCCGGCTTCTCGTGAGAAGCCTAGATGTCTGGCTGTCATACTGATTCTTTGGCTTCATTTTCTAGAACATGAATGGAGTTAAGGAATTCTAACTTTGTTTTTGTTCTACAGCTGTGACTGAGACATCTTGAAGTCAGGCACTGCCAGATAGCCAACATTTTCAGTAACAGTCCACCATACTTGACAAGTCTGCCTAATATAGACCATTGTTTAGTTTAGTGGATGGTATGATTCGGTGAACACCACATTCCCATAGGTGAATTTCCCTTTTTTGGATGAAAAACCCATTAAAATGCATTTCATGCCAAAGTATATAAATGCAAAGTGTGCCTTTTCTGTTCTATGAAGTGTCACCTAGAATATTTTACTAATCTCTTCATCATCACTTTTTACAGAGAGTCCAAAGAATAGAAGAAGGGACAAGGACAAACAAAGGTGTAAGTGGAAAACAGAGAACAAAAGGAAAGAAATGCCCCATGGCAGTCTGAGTCAATTTGCAAATTACACAGATAATGGTGAAAACAGAGAACAAAAAGAAAATTGTGTCAATTTGCAAATCAAATAGACAACCAGCACTGCAAACAGCGGTAATCATGATTTTTTCTTCTCAGTGAAAGAGCTTATTGA